TGTATGAACTGTTCTTGCATGAGGCCCATTGTCTCTTATCGTGCAGAAGAAGAAGAAGAAAAAGGAGGATTTCTGCAGTCATGAGATGGAGAAACAGAAGAAGACAGAGAGTAAGTGAGGAGAGAACTAATAGGATGAAGAAGAAACAGCAGGACTGGATGATGAAGAGATGCTTTTCCCTGATGAACCTGGATCTGGTTCAGAAACCCAGTTGGCAGCCTGCCAATCAGACCCTCTACTCCACCTCCATCTTCACATCACAACATTCAGAAGATAAAACTGCTGCACTGACAGCGAGCATGTACCGAGCATGTACCACTGCAAAGGTGCTGAATGTTTAGGCCACGTCTGTGTCTAAATTGTTAGCAAAATATCTCCTGAATCACAGAACAGACAAATGAAACGCTCAGAAAGCAGTCGGTAGATGCAGATGTGTAATAAATCAGTTTTTAGTCATTCACGTTCAACAAATCTGTCATTGTGGGTTTTTTTTTTTATTTTGTTTTGTTTTGTTTTGTTTTGGTCTTTGTGGGGTTTTTGGAGGACTGATTGGAAGAAGTGGAAACACCTGGGGAGAAGAGGGCAACACTAAACACAACACACCTGAGACAGACAGAAGAGAAACTCAAAGAAAAACCCCACAAAGACCAAAAAATAAAAAAATAACCACTCTGACAAAATCAGCCTTACCCAACACAAAATGATGACAAATTTATAGATACTGAGTTCAAATTTAGCCTGGTAGCAACTTCTACTCTGAAGTGTTCACTGATTCTAAGAACCTGTGTGAACAACACACTGCATACAGAACACAGCTCGGTCTCAGTAAATAGTTGCTCAGAGTGAAAAGTTGTGAAGTGTTGTTGCTACATCAAACCCCACAGAACCGTCACTGTCTGACATGAAACCACACTAAACCTGCAGGTTCTCAAATGAAGCTGAGATCAAGAATTAAACAAGTCAGCTGTCTTTTGATTTAAATTAAATGAATTAAATAAATAAAAACCAGCAGGCCACAAGCTCAGCAGTGTTCAGTGGAAGTCATGTTCCACACCAACCATAAGAAAAACTCAGGCTGGTGGCAGTGATCCTGATCAGATWTCAATACTGTGCAAACATACCTAAATCTAAAAGAAGTATTTCAAATCATAGCTTCACTGAGAACATAAGACAGACTAATTTATTTAGTTGTTTAAAACTTGGAAGTATATTGAGGTAACAGCCTTATTTAAAATATATCTGAGCTAATACAACCAGAAAAAAACACAATCAAATAAAATATAAAACAGTGTTTGAAACACTAACAACATAAGATAAGATAACAAAACCATTAAAAATAAGCAGTTTTATTATCAAGAACCACTATAAAAATAAAAACTTGCATCTTAATTTATTGTTAAATAATGGAATGAAAACACTTCAAATGATGTTAATGATACCCAAAATGACAAAGTGATAAAATTTCTATTACATTTTGATTTGAGTCATTTTAGAGCAAAACACTCTGGCYCTTGCCTTCCTACACAGCTCTGATCAATTCTAGTTTCTCTTCTCTGCTCCGTCTGGGATTTCTCCCATAGACAAGGATTTCTCTGGTACAATTTCAACTGGACCAATCAGAGAACAGAAGGATGGATTTTGAACAACGTGGATTTTCTGCACCCTTTTAGTCTGCCTGTAGTTTAGCAGCAGAGGAAGTGAGTGAAGCCAGTCTGTACTGACAAGACTTCCAAAATAAATAAAATTTGTCTCACAAAGCCTGCAGGACTCGTTTACAGCCGCCTCATTCAGCTCAGTACTTCTCTCCTCTCAGTAGAGGATGTTTGTTTACAGCACACAAAATTTCTAGTTAGTTTCTTAGCTTAGCCTCCTTCATGGTGGAGCTGGTGCACTACATGTGTCATGGCCAAATGTTAGCAATTGGGTAAATCAGATCCAGTCATTTTAGACTTCAACAGAGGCCACGCCTCCAGAAAGAAATTGTTTCTCAATAGCCGAGAGTCCAGACCAGGCTGATTTTTACCAGGTTGGGATAGTTCAGTCTCACATCACTACATCTGCTGGAGTTAAAGCTAACATTCACACACGTGTGTTSTTTGGCAGTTAGGTTTTTGTGTATTTATGTCTCCTTGTCTCTTAGTTCTTCTCAGGTATCTGTCTTACCTAGTCTCCCACACCTGTAAGCAGTTTAATCACCACAGCTGCATTCACTCACCAATCAAACMTCCCAGCAGGCCTTAGCTCCCTGTCTTTACTCGCTGTCAGATTCTTGCTGGGCCCTGCCCACCTGACATCTTCTGGTTTGTCGCTTTTATGTGTTTTGTTTGTTTTGTTTTGTTTGCATTCAAGCAGTCTGCCTGTGACCTGCTGCTCTTCAACAAACAACACAAATAATCACAGAATGCTAGTGATAAACAGGTGAAGATTCTTCTAATTGTTTCTGCAACTAAATTCTTTGTTTAAATTTGTGCTTAAAAATCCCAGTATGCTGACAGACATAATCAATAACATTTCAGCTTAAACCCAGTAATAAAAATATATCATTCCAGCTGCAGACGTCTCCGCAGCAGATGAACTCACATGGATAAAACAATAGTTTGAAGTTTTCCTGACAAACCTGAGCTCAGACCTGCAGTTACAGAAATATTTAACTGTAGCACTAATCAAACTGAGCACAAACCTCAAATAATGTCTTTAAGGTTGTACAGAGACTGAGCTAAATGTGTTGGTTCTAAATGAACATTGGGCCTCATGCAAGAACTGTTCGTATGAACAGATTTGTTCTTAAGTTGTGTGTACGAGTGGTTTAGACAGTGCCACTGTCTCTAAACTGTACATCATAGCAGGTCTCACTGAAGTCTTGTAAACCTTCCCTTTCACTCTTTGTGCTGTCCTTCTGTTACACAACAGCCCCGACACTCATCTCCATCCACTCAATCCTGCCTGCACCCTCTTCTTCACCTCTTTTCTGCACTGTCCATTGCTCTGGACACACAAAAATCTACCTTCCTTTCTCCATCATGTCTGCCTTTACCAGTCACTGTCCCGACATTCAGACTGATTTTCTTCACTAATAACTTTATATTTCATTAGTTTGAAAATATTTTGAGTTGAAAATAAATCACTGCATAATTATGTTGACAATAGGCTATTCTGTCTGAATTGGAATTATAATTTTAAATGTAATAATGTAGACTAATGACATAAATTGGTTAAATTAAATTAAACTGGCTATTAAAGCTGTATAGCACTACAATATTAATAAAAAGTTAATTGAATTGTTTGAAGACGTTTAAAATTTTTTTTTTCAGAAATGCATCTGACACTAGCAACGGCGGTGCACGACTGCTCTGCTCTTCTGAATAAATGAAAACTAGCTGTTTACACTTAAATTAAAAATATTTGACCAAAGTAAAACCAGAGCAGGATTAGAGAGAGATAAAAATGATTTAGATTTTTATTTCTGTGACTGTATATGACCCAGGGGAAACGCAACATTAACAGAACATTTCATTCTTTGGCTTTAGCAGCTCCTTTTATTCCACAGCTGATGCTGCTAAAAATGACAGATTTTCTTTTCTGGATCTCTGAGAGCTGGACTTCAATCTCTGAACTCGTAAAGTTCTTCTTTTTATTTTGTGWTGTCATTTATGAATGAACACTTGCTGGTATGTGGGGCAGGAAATGTAGCCTTATATGGTTTTTTTGGGGGTGGTAATTATGTAAATCACCTCTCCTTCTGCACGAGCAGCTGATACGCATTCATCAGTTCACGCTGCTCATTTACACACTTTTCCTGAAGACAGAAGAGTTTGCTGAATCTGACGTGACACGACGAACCCTTCGTACGAACAAAAGTAAGAGAAATTTAGGATAAGAATACGAACATGTTCTTGCATGAGGCCCATTGTCACATTGCACACTTTAACTGTTGGAGTCCATCTTGTTTGTGTGTTAGAAAATATATCAATAATCAAAAAAAAAAAAAAGAATTCAATGAAATTTTCAAAAAAATGATTTTAAACCCAGTTCAAAATGGCTGCCTTCACTACTTGACTATAACATCGACACAAACAGCTTTACATCAGTGAACTTAAACACTGAGCAACAGCTTAGAGGTGGTAGTAGTTGAGTCACTCAGTCTTCAAGAGCTAACATGCAAAATCAGATGAGATCACAACATGACAAATGTTTTGTTAAAACCCTATTTTCACTAAAAACAGGCTCAACTCTGTCTTTGAATGATCATTTAAAACTGTATGATGAAGAGGAGTGTAGAAAACACATTTTTTAAAAGAAGTTCTGAACTTTGAAGTCTTGTAAGCTGCAGTTGTCTGAATGTTTTTGCAGTGATTTGAGAGGAAAAAGCTGCAGGACTCACGGTGTCTGTTCTGAGCTTCTTGGGTGGGCAGCCTCCATCCACAGGATGTAGCATGTAATACAGACGCACTTTGTTGGCGTGCTTACGACTCTGGAAGAGACAGAGGAAATGTGACAATAGAAAATAATATACAAAATTACAGTCAGTAGAAACTTTTGTTTTAATTAACGTGATTGTTTCTGAATAATTTTATGATAAATCTTTTTTTACAGCCCCAAGTGTAGGTGAGACACATCTACATTCCTGCCAAATTTCATGTTGATCGGTGCAGCCGTTTCTGTGATACGGTTGACCGAATTGACAATATGACCCCCGCTTTGCGGGAGCGGGTCATAATAAATAAAACAGACAACTGTCAGTTTTCTACATTCCAACATTTTGACATTAAAATCAGTAAGAAAACATGATTTATATTTAAAGGAAAAAAAAATTGTATAGGTCTTCTGGACGGGTTCTTCTTTAATGAAACGTTTCGTCTCTCCTCCAAGAGACTTCTTC